AATATTAACTTGCAGACTGTTAGTAGTAGAGAATACATTTCTAAGTCCAGGGAGAGGAAATCCCAGGGCAAAATACCTCTAAAAACCGAAATCAGTTACACGGAGAAATAAAGTTTGAAATGCATTTATTGCTCACAAACTGCAGTCCCGGGGGCTTCTCTCCTGCTCCAGCAGCAGCAACACCGGGAATCCCCTGCCCCCTCAGGTACAGATCAGCCCTCCTGGCCCAGGTAATTACCATTGATATGGGGATGAACTTCTCTCCACCCCTGAGGAATGATGCAACTGCACTAAAGCCACACTTCTTTCCACCTCTGAGTGCCTATTGGTATGCAGATAAACTAAAGCCAGGCGAGATATTCTGGAAATATTACAACTTTACCCACAACATTGTAAGTGGAAAAAAAATGGGAGGAAATACTGGTGAGAAATGATGATAGTAAAGCAGAACTTCTTCCAACTTTGTGGAAGCATACTTTTAAGAGTCTGGAGAGTTATATAAGTTTTGCTGTTTGTATATTATTGTTGTTTAGGTCTGTCACAAAATAACCTTTGATTCAGGATAGTTGGTATAAAACAAAGATATCACCAGGTCTGTGTTCCTTCATACCTTCTTCATATAGTTCTGATCGGGGTTCTTTTTTGCCTTTTAAAACCGTGTCCTTTACACACAGGGAAGCGTGCAGATCGGAATTGCAGGGTGCTGACGGATCCCTGCGCCACCACCTGCCTCCGGGGCTCTTTCCCTGTAGTTAGTTCAGACTGTGTGGTTCACGTGGGTGGAATCCTCCAGCATGTACTGCTCTGTGCCAGGCTGCTTTTGCTCAACAATGTTTCTGAGGTCTGTTCATGTTGTATCCATTAACCCTTTGCTGTTTGATTTTCCGCTGTATACATACGCCAGTTGCCTTATCCATTCCCCCATTGATGGGCCTGTGGGTTGTTTCCAGGTTGGGCCCATTATGAATAAAGCTGCTGTGAACAAGTCTTTATAGATACTGTTAGGAAAGAGTATAAAACCTAAATGTGATTTATTCCCACTAGGATGTTTAAACGTTTTAACAGTAAGGTATTAACAAAGGGCCACGTGATGGAAGCTCCTCACGCTGAGAGTGGGGGTGGGGGATGGATAAGGGCCTGGCTATCCCTGTTTGAGTTTTTTAAACCTACCAATAAGAATAAGACAAATGTAAAGGAAAGATATAACGGGCTTAGGCGACGTCTGGGAAAGACTGTGAACCCTGTAGTACTCAGCCAGTGAGGAACCAGGGGAGGTACGCGTGCACTAGGAGATAAAAATTATTGGCGCCAAACTCCCCAGGTGTGCCTGCCCACCAGACACCCGATCTTGCAAGATCATCATTAAAGCTTCGCGCCGCTGTTCTCTCTGTCTCCGTGTCCACTTATTGAATTTGGACCAGTGAGTGTGTTTCTCACAGATACGTTTCATTTCTTTTGGATAAGTGCTTTAGAGCCGTGGTCTGACTGGGTCAGGCAGCAGGTGGCGGTCCGCCTTTACAAGAGACGGCCAGACTTTCCCGGCTTCCACCCCTGCGCGCTCTGCTGGGGGAGCCTCTCCCACCCACCTTGGCTCTCACCCATCCTTCTCTGCTGTCCCTGGTCACGCTCCAGCAGGACCCTGTGCTGGTGGCTCTTGTCCCGTGGGGATAGTGCCAAGCCTTGCCAATAGAGGGCACTGGAGTGACACTGCAAGAGGAAGGGCCGTCCCTTCCTCTGGCGCTTTCCTAGCCAGCATGTGGCTTTCCAGCCGGTGACCCCAGCGAGCCCTTCCTGCCTCCTAATCTCAGCCCTGCACCTCAGACCCGGGTGGCCTCAGCCACACCCTTCAGAGAGGTCTGTGCCGCATCCTGGGGTGGTGGAGGGGCTTCCAGCTTGTTCCTTCCGAGGGGCTGCCCTCCAGCAGTGACTGCCCCACACCTCTGTGTTTAGAATTCTGTTTACCTCCTAGTGGTGAATCCTCTTCTACTGTTCATCACTCTTTATATTACATTTTGGCTGTGTATTCCTGTGTGAGTATCTGTTCAGGTCTTGGGTCCCATTTTGAGGAGCTTGTGTTTTTATTACTGAGTTTTAGGAGTACTTTGTTTATTCAGGATAGAAGTCCTTTGTCAGATGTGTTTTGTAAACATTTTCTCTTGGTCTGTCCCTGCCTATTGATTTTATTGTGGTTAAAAAAACACATAAAACTCACTGACTAAAAGACATTTTAAGTTGACTGCATTACATTGTGGAAACAAGATCACCAGAACTTTCTTACTTTGCAAGTCTGAATTCTGTCCCCATTCAATGACACCTGTCTCCCACTTCCCCCAGCCCTGGCACCCACCCCTACTGTCTGTCTCTATGAATGTAACTATGCTTGGTCCCTCATATAAACGGAATCACACAGGATTTGGCCTTCAGTGACTGGCTTACTTCACTTAGCCTAATGTCCTCAAGGTTCATCCATGTTATGACGTGTAACATGTTCTCCTTCCTTTTTAAGGCTGAATAATATTCCATTGTATGGCTATGTTGGGCAGAAAGGTAGACATAAGTGTGTGGAGGGGGAATGAAGCCAGCAGAGCCCACCAGAAGGACTGAAGGAGTTGACCGGACAAAACCGGGGAGCCAGAAAAGACAGTGAGTTGAAGTTGTTTCAAGGACCAGGAGTTCCTTGGAATGTCCAAACGCTCCTCAGGTAACGAAAATACCACAAGACAGGCACTGAAATCATCAGAGCACAGCCCATGTGTCCATTTCACCTATTAGACCAGGCCTCCAAGGCCAAAGACCATCAATCAAGGACTTCTCTGCCCTGCCAAAACGCCCGGAAAGCAGCCTCACAGTACATACAGCCTGGCTCTGTCTACCTGGCTCTGGCCTGCTACTCCCTGGGAGTGTATTCAAATAAAACTCTTTCTGCTTTGCTACTGTGTCTCTGCCTTTCAATTCTTTGTTGCACTGGGCAAGGACCAAGGAGCACAGACGCAGCACTTAACGGATGCATCACATGTATCCATTTATCATCTCTCAAGGACACTGGGTTGTGAATAGTGCTATCGTGACCAGGGCTGCTAGTGCGCGGGTATGCAAATACCTCTTCAAGACACTGCTTTTAACTCTTGGGGATGTACCTAGATGTGGGATTAGTGGATCATGTGGTAGTTCTATTTCTCCCTTTTCGCGGAGCCTTCATTTTGTTTCTGTAGTGACTCTGTTTTATAATCTCACTGACAAGAGTACAGGGATTCCAGTCTCTCCATATCCTCACCAACATTTTTTTTTTGATAGCCATTCTAATGGGTGTGAAATAGTATCTCGTTTGTTTTGATTTGCATTTCTCTGATGATTAGTGTTGTTGAACATCTCCATGTGCTCACTAGCCATTTTAATGTAATCTTTGGAGAAATATCGAAGTCCTTTGCCAGTATTTTTTTTGTTACATGGTTTTTTTATTGATTTGTAGGAATTCCTTACATATTCTAGATATTAACCCATTATCAGATAAATGATTTGCAAATAATTTCAGACTGATTTTTCACTCTGATGATTGTGTGCTTTGATGCACAGTTTTTAAGTCTGATGTAGTCCTATTTTCACTTTTGTGGCCTGTGCTTCTGGTCCCACATGTAAGAAATATCACCACCAGTTCGGTCCAGTGTCATAGTGCTCTTCCCCCATGTTTTCTTCTGGGAGTTTTACAGTTCTAGGCCTTATGTTTAGGACTATATCCTTTTCGAGACAGTTTTTATGTGTGTCCTATTAATTTTTTAAAGTGTCTTTAGATAAACAATTTGGGATTTTGACGAAGTTTATTTTATCAATTTAAGATTTTTATGGTTAAACCCCACATCAAAAATAAATTATTATTTTTTTCTAGAAACCTTATAGTTTTATCATTTATACCTGAGTTTATGACCTGTATGAGGTCGACGTGTGTGTGGTGAGATAAAGGTGGAGGTTATTTTTCCTGTGGGAATGCCTAGCTGAAGATTCCCTGTCCTGCTGGGTGGTGTAGAGATACTGTGACAATCCTCGGGGCCCCTCTCTGGAGACAGACGTTCCTCTCCAGGTGCTGGAAGCTGGCCCTCAGCGGTTCAGCGCCCCCTGAATGCGGCCCTGGAGGAGCACGGCCAGCAGCGACCTCCTGGGACTGACTGCCGGCCACCCTCTCCGTCCCCAGGGGCACCTCCTAATGAACAAACGGCCTGCCACTCGTTGTCGCTCATCTGCGTGCCAGTTCGCCTGGCTCTGCGCGAGTTCCATCCGGTTCCATCGGTCTCGAGAGCCCCGCCACCTCGCGCTCCCTCCTGCAGCTTCAAACCTGAGCCCCGCTGGTGGGACCGCAGGGAACCGGCTGAATTCCCAAGGCGCCTCAGGCTCTGCACAAGGCATGCTCGCAGCCTCACGCACCCGCGGCCCGGCGGCTCTCGCGGCAGGGAGATACGTGGCCGGCTGAACCTGGCTGGAGAGGCAGAAAACACGGACGAGAAGAGTGACCACCGCGCGCTGGGTTTGCTGAGGGTGCATCTGCGCAAAGGACGAGGAGATCGAGCCCAGGCCGGCGCTGGAGGCCGCCACCTCCCGCAGGGCCCGACGGGGCGCCGCCAGCCCTCCTCTCGGGCGCGCAGTGCGGCTCCACACCACTCTCCGCTGAAGCCCTCGCGCGGCCAGCAGCCCGAGTGCCGCGCGCGCGTCCACACGCGCACAGCGCACAAACGGTCGGGGAGCCTGCACCGCGGCCCAGCGGCCGGGAGCCCGCGCGCGCTCGCAAGCTCCGCCCCTCCCCGCCCCCCGCAGCATCCGGGGAGGCTCCGCCCCCGTGCTCACAGGCCCCGCCCCGACAGCGGGCCCCGCCTCCACAAGCCCTCCGCGGGGGGGGCACCGTCATCCTGGCCCCGCCCCCCCGCCCCGGTCCCTCCGCCCCCTGGCCGTCCCCTCCCAGTTGGGCCCGCCCCTTCCGCGCTGGCCCCGCCCGTTTCCAGCGGGCCCCGCCCTTCCCGAGTGCCCTTGGCGCGCCCCGCCGTCTCCCCTTAGTTTACTTAGAGCCCCGCGTGCCCCTTGGCGTCCCGGTCCCCGAGGTCCTCCGGTTCTCGAGGCCGGTCAGGCATGGCGCGCGCGGCAGGGCCTGAGCGGCGGCTCCTGGCCGTCTACACTGGCGGTACCCTCGGCATGCGGAGCGAGCGCGGCGGTGAGCGGGCGGCGGCGCGGGCAGGGCGGCAGGGGGTCGTCCCGGCGCAGGGCGCCCTCGGGCCCAGCTGACCTGGGGAGAAGGGCGCGGTCGCGAGGGCCTCACTTAGCCCGGCCCTCTGACGCCCATGCTGCGGCTGGCACCCCGCAGGGCCGCGGTCTGACCCCTTCGCTGGGGACCACTGAGCGGCCGTAAGGTGACCGCACGCTGTCCCCCAACCTGGTACCTGGTCGGGCTGCAGGGCGTCTGACGTCTCTGCGGAGATTCACGTGCGGGAAGCGGCTCCGCGGGGTTGCGGCCTTGTTCCCTCTGCCCCGTGGCAGCAGCTTCACGTGGGGGTGGCGCCCTGGACGGGGCACCGAGCTCCCCCCACCCCGAGCAGGGGTGCCACCAGCATGGGCTGAGCACCTTCAGGGAGGGACCCCGTCTGGGGAGCCTGGGCCCTGCTCTGGGGGAAGGGGATCGCTCCCCATGAGCTTCCAGAATGTTCCCACACTCCCTAGGGGCGGGCAGTCGCATGACCTTCCACGACGGCGGCTCCTGGTTGCGCGGTGTGTGTGGTGCTCTGACCCCGGTGGGCCAGGACAAACCTGCAGGCTTGGTCTCTGCTCCTCTGCCGTCCAGGAGTTAGTCCTCCCTGAGGGGTCCCATTTCCCACGGCGCTGGTTCTTCTTGGCCCCCTGCCTCCCAGCTCCCTCTCCGGCCAGAGGCCCCATAGCTCACACCCGGGGTGGCCCAGCCCCGTGCCCCAGTGCGTCTGGAACTCAGACCCTCTCCCAGCTCCCGTCCTAGGGCCTGCCCCCAGGGAACATCCCCTTTGCCCTAGCCTGTCCTTCAGCCACTTTCCCGTCCCTGCCCCCTCCCCTCTTCTGGTCGCCCCTTTCCACCCAAGTAGCAGTGGCACGTTCTCCGTGACCCCGGCAGCAGCTTCTTGGTGCTCTGACCCTGTTACGCCATCTGCAGCATCCATGGCCAGTCCCGGCTGTCTTGCGGCTCACCCCTGCCCTGCTGGGCCCAGGACTCAGCTCGGAGCCCTGTTCTGGAGGGGCTCTGCACCGGGACGTGGGCGTCTGCAGGCCCCTGGCCAGTTGCTCCTCCCCCTGCTGCTGTGGCCTCCGTGTCACCATCGGTCAGTTCATGGGTTGGTGAATGTTGGATCCTGGGGAGGCCGCGAGAGACAGTCCACCAGCGGGCACTGCCAGGCCCCTCAGCTCAGCCCTCACTAGCCAAAGAGGGCTGGCGTAAACCGGCAGTCGTGCACTAAGGAGCCATTACAGAGGCCGCGCGCCCCTGGCTGGTTGGGAGCACAGGTGGGCAGAGGTGGAGGGCCCCGCTGCATGGGGAGCGAGCAGCCCAGCGCACCACAGCCCCCGAGCGGACTGTCTGGGGCCCTGACACTGCCCTCCAGGCTTGGCATGTTGCCACTGTGATTCTGTTGAGCTCAACAGAGTTCTTGAGGGTCTGGGCTGCAGGGACAAGGTGCACTCCAGCCCTGACCCCACCTGCACTTGGTGGTGTCTCTCCCTGGTCCCGTGGCCTCACCGCAGAGCCTCCTGTCCCGGCTGCTCCCACAGCCACCAGATTTCCCACAGGGGCCGCAGAGTCAGCATGTTCCAAAAGTGAACCAGACACGTCGATGCTGGGAAGACGGGGTGTGGAGGAGGCCGGTTTCTAGAAGGGGAGAGTCTTCCAGGCTTCCCTGGAGCCTGCTCTGGGTGCTGCCGTCTTTGGGCCCCAGTGAAGGCGAGGTCAGAGCAGCTGGCCTGTCCCGGCCAGTGAGGACCCTGGTCTTCTGAGCCCTGGGGGAGGTGTCATCTTGGGAGGAGGCAGCTCCCGTCGTGGGGCAGGAGCTGTGTCCACTGGGAGCCACGGCAACATCTCTGAGGGTTGAGGGCTTTGCCCCAGAAGGAACCGCTGCTCAGTGCCAGGCTCTTGTGTGACCTGACCCCGCTGCCAGCATCCCCATCATGGCTGCCGACCCTTCCCCACCTCATGAATCATGAAGGCTTTAGGGAACCAGAGGATGAAGCCCAGGGTACGAAGGAGGAAGGGACACGAGGTCTGGTTCCTGCTGCCCCCTAGAAGAGGAATAGCCAGGGAGCTGGGAACCAGGGTGCCAGGTCATGTGACCCCTGACCCCAGAGTCCTGGGAGACCAGGGGCCCTCAGGCCCGCCCTGGTGTGGGACTGGCGCTCAGTGTTCTTTAGGGACACACATGTGTTGACTTGCTGCCTAAAAATGTGTGTAAAGCAAAACGGTGCCAAGGGGTGGGGACAGCACCCCAGTCTGCTGAAGGAGCAAGGTGGGGACAGATGGACCAGGCTGGGGGGGAGGACGGGGCTGGCACCTGTCCTCTGCAAGCCCAGGGGAGGTCTTTGGACTCAGACTCCAGGCCCTGCCTGCCCCCGCATTCCCATCAGGACTGGCGGTCAATCATTAACTCACTTGGTACTGCTGATAGGGCTCCAGTCCCTGCAGGGAGGGGAGCGGTGGCCACTGCACAGGTGTTTGGATTGTCACTGTTGAGAGTGTTTCTGTGCCTGCTGGTAAACAGTGGCCTGCAGGGCACCAGGCGCGCCACATGTGTGAGCCCTGCCAGAGGTCAGTACAGCAAGGGGAGGGCAGAAGCTGTGGCAGCTAGGGACACCCCTTCTCTGAGTTCAGCGAAGATGTCACAGGTCAAAGGGCATCGTGAATCCCAAATCTGCTGATAACCCAAGCCCAAGGCTGACAGCATCAGCGGCCACCTCGTGTGCAGCTGAGGAACTCAGAGGCTCCGTGCAGCAAACGGTGGCCCCCAGCAGCTTGCCACCTTGCCCGAGTGTCCCTCATGGGCGTGGCTCTTGCTGGCATAGCAGGCTGAGCAGAGTTTTGGGGCCAGGCAGCTGAGGGTGCCGGGACAGTGTGGAAGGTTGCAGGTGGTCCTGGCAACCAAGCCTTGTTGGTACAGGTGATGTCCACAGCTTCTTGGTTACTGCAATGTGGCATCTGTGCCCTTGGCCTGGACCTCCTTCCGGAACACAGCTCTGCCCATCCACAAATTCACATTTTTATAGCCTAAGATATGGGGGGTCCCAGGGGACCCGCTCTCCTAGGGGGCAGACCGTCCCTTACAGAGAGTTTGTCTGGTGGCCAGTGAAATTGGCCGCCTGCCCTGTGACCCAGGGACAAAGTTTGGGTTTGGTAGGATCAAAAACTTGGGGGGCCCTTGCTAAGAAAAATAATACAATTCACAAAATCAGATGTGAAAGCTGATGTATTTAGAATAATTAAGGAAATTGCAATTAACTTCCAGTTTTAAAAAGCCAAGAATATCAGAAAACCCAGAAAAACCTTCTGCTCGTTAACTTCCTGTTCCTCCGTCACAGCCTCCTCCCCGGGTCCTGTGTGTGCGCTTCCATGCTCTCCAGGTGTGGCTGCCTGGACAGCACTTTGCGGACGGGATCGAAGAGGGGAAGTCAGCCTTTTCTGGGCCTGGTTTTGCCACTGCTATGTGTGTGTTCCGTGGGTGGGGGCCCCAGGGTCCAGCCCTTCCCCTTCTGGCCACACTGTAGCATGGAGTGTCCCTGGAAGACATCGTCCGGCTGTCAGCAATAGCCTCGCTATGGGTGGCAGGGATTCATGTCATGAAGTTGTTCCACAAAACCCAAACCAAGTGGATCCCCGCTTCACTGCCCCCTAAGTGGATACCCAGATTTCCACAGACACCGCAGACCCTCTCCTGTGCTGGAGGCACAAGTCTGACGTCCATAGGCAGGGACTGGTCCTCGAGTCCCACTTGGCTTGTGACCACATCACTCCATGCTTCGAGGCCCACTGATTCTCACCTTTCCTGCTGCCCTCATGTCACCTCCTCCTTCGTCCCCACTCCCTCTTACAAGGACGCTCATGATGGCATTTAGGGCCCACCCAGAGTCATCTCTCTCAAGACCTTTAACTTTATCACACCTGCAAAGACTTTGCATGTAGAGTCACACGGTCCCAGGGCTCAGGACGGGCATCTTTGGGGACAGATGGAGCAGGGGAGCCTGGCACCAGTGCTGGGTGGCTGGTGGCTCTGAGCCTTTCTCAGTGCCCAGGGCCTGCAGTTTGGTCACGGATGCTGGCAGGGCTGGCAAGTCCAGACCTTTGTGAAGGCAGGCTCATGCTTCGTCACTCTTTGGGCATCTTGGGAGGGTGGCTGGGCTGGCAGTCACACGCCGCTGTCCCCTGCCGTTCCTGCTGCTCTACTGTTTCCTTAAGTGCTGGACGCCAGCTAGCCTGCCCTGCCTCTGGGGAAGGGTGGGGTCATTCCTAGTGCACTTCCGCAGACTGGTCTCCCTGTGCCTGGGCAGATGACCGACGGACAGCATAGACACCCATGGGCTGTGCGGCTGAGCTGGATGGGGGCCGGCGGGGAGCAGGGCCCAGGACTTAGCAAGTGGCCACATGGGGGACCATTTGGGGCGGGGAGATGGCCTGAGCAAAGATGTGTGGGTGAGGAGCACAACCCCGCCCGCCCTGCGGTCTGCCAGCCTCTGACTGTGGACACTGTGTTTGACACGGGGCCGCTAGGCTTGTTTGTGGCCCTTCATCCCACGGCCAGAGGGGAGGCAGTGGGCGAGCAGAACCCTACCTGGTGTGGGACATCGGTGGTGAGGAGGCATAGTTGGGGCTGCTGGAGAGGGCCTTGGGTGGTGGGTTGGGGGGGCAGGGCCTGCTGCTGAGCTGACCCCAAGGAAGGTTAGCGTTTGGGGAGAGAACCTGGCCAACAGGCTGTGGGGAGACACTCCCACGGCAGCGGAAGGAAGGGCTGAGGGGCAGGGCGTCCTCACCGGTGAGGTGAGTGCACTTTCCGGCTCCTTAAAGGGAGGTGTGATGTTGGAGGTTAAAGGAAGATGGAGCAGAGGCCTCCAGCCTGGGGGTATGGGCAGCCTCTGGAAGCTGAGAAGGACCCCTACTCGAGAGGCAGCAGGGACACAGTTTGACGTGCAGGGAGCTGAGGGAGCCGGGACACTCGCCCCAGAACCTCTAGCAAAATCATGGCCTGCTGACACCTGAGCCCGCCGGACTTCTCACCTCCAGAACTGAGACAATCAGCGGTGCCGTTTTAAGCAGCTGTGCTGGGGGTCATTTGTTATGGCGCCCAGCGCAGATCATCGTCCAGGAGTGACCGCCGACCCTGGTCCTTAAAGTCTGAAGTGTTTCAGCCAAGGATGTTCCTTGAGGGGGGCCTCTGCTGTCCTCAGCACTCTGGGTGCCCAGCACAGCCAGGCATGTGGGAGACGACGTCCCCTGGAATCTCAGTGGGTGGAGAGCGCACCCAGAGAGTTAGCCGATCCGCTCACTGTCACCGTGCTCGTAGGGTGTGTGCTGGATCAGAAGGCCAGGACCTGAGGCAGGGAGCCTCAGGAAGCCTCTGCTGAAGGGTTGTTTCCAGGAAACACACACCCGACCCCAGGGTTTTCTTACAACGTGCACTGTTTCTGCCCAGTGTATCCTTGGGTGCATATTTCTGGGACATGGGGGCTGCAGGCAGAGGGCCGGAGCTGGACCCTGGAGGGTCACCCACAGTCCAGCGAGGGAGCAAGGGCAGACGGGGGCATGTTGGAAGGGCAGCAGGGCCTAGACATCAAGCAGGGCTTCCCAGAAGTGGTGCCCTGAGCTAGGGTGAGGCTTCTGCCCAGTGAGAAGGGGGGTTGGCAGAGGACTTCCAGGCAGAGCCAACAGTGTGTTGTGGGTGGATGTGAGTGTGGGCACCCTGGCGGTGGGGGAAGAAGAGCTGGCGCGTGTGGACAAGGCATAAGAGGACTGGAAAGGGCCAGGGCCCCCTGGGTCCCGGTCAGGGTGTGATTTCACCTGGAGATGGGGGTGTTAGCCGGAGCAGGCCCTGGGCGGAGCATCGGCGTGCCTGGGGCCATCTGGGTGAGAGCCGCGGTCAGCCTGGGTTCCCAGGCCCAGGCCATCCTGCCCCCACGGGTAGCTGCCCACCCTTCCCAGGGCTCCACGGCAGCTGCAGGCCTGTCCACCCAGCCTGACTCCCCTGGCCCAGCCCTGATCCTGGCCCCCGGCATGTGCAGCAAGAGGGATGGGCTGTGCGACAGTTGCTGGCGGGGGCTGCGGGCCGCTGACCCCACACCCCCCTGGGATCTGCCTGCAGTGCTTGTCCCCGGGGCGGGCCTGGCCACCGTCCTGAGGGCGCTACCCATGTTCCACGATGAGGAGTATGCCCGGACCCGTGGCCTCCCTGAGGACACTCTAGTGCTGCCGTGAGTGTGGGCTCCCCGGGGCCCAGGGCAGGGGTGGCACCAGCTGCCATGGGGGGAGGGTCACCCTGAGCTTGGAGGGCTGCTGGCAGGTCTGTGGATCAGACTGGGGTTTCCCAGTGCCTCTGGGGAGCCATGTGCAGGGGTCCCCTGCTGATGTCCTTCCGAACTGACCAAGCAAGCCTCAGACTCCCCCCACCTCTGGGGCTGTAGGCCTCCACTGTGGCCCTTGGGGACCCAAGCCCAGCAAGAGAGGCAGGGGTGGCCCCACTGGTCGTTTCCCCCAGTGGGAAGGTCCTTCTCCCTCTTGGCTCCTGAGGTCCTTTTCCCTGTGCAAGCAGAGCGTGGGTGGGCAGTGAGGGCCACTTGCACTTTCCCAGCGAGGCAGCGGCCAGGACAGCTGCTCCAGTCTACTTGTGAGTTGGTTTATCTCAGCTGGTATGCTGGGCCTGGTGCCCTTCGTGGCTGGCAGGCTGACAAGCAATCCCCTCCTCCCAGGGTGGCCTCCTGACTCACTCAGGGCCAAGCGCGGCCTCTCAGAGCTGATTGGGGGAAGGGGACATTGCGTGGGAGCAGCCGTCCTGGCCCGTCCTCGGGCCTCCCTGGGACCACAGTCCTGTTCTGGGAGGTCATGGGAGGAAGGGAGGCCCAGTGGGTCCTGGGATGCCAAGCTCCTGTGGGTGGTGGACATTGTTCCTGGGTGCAGGGGCCTGGTGGGAGAGCTGGGTGCAGGAGGGGTGCAGAGCTGCCATTCTGCCTCCCGCAGGCCCGCCAGCCCCGACCAGAGGGTCATCTACACGGTGCTGGAGTGCCAGCCCCTTTTTGACTCCAGTGACATGACCATCGTCGAGTGGGTTCAGATTGCCCAGACTATCGAGGTAGCGGGGCTGGGGAGTGGGCGGGGCTGGGGAGTGGGCGGGGCTGCAGAAGCCCTCTGGGCCCTTGGGTCGCAGCAGCTGCAGGGCTCCTGAGGTCCCTTCCCAGGCCAGCAGAGCGTGGGTGGGCAGTGAGGGCCACTTGCACTTCCCCAGCGAGGCAGCGGCCAGGACAGCTGCTCCAGTCCGCTTGTGAGTTGGTTTGTCCCAGTTAGTGCCCTGGGCCAGGATGCCTGACCCTTCCTCACAGATAGACAAGCCCAGTTCCTGGCCTGTCCTCATCTGTCCACCCCATGACCACCCTGGGGTTTCCGTCTTAGTTGAGTGAGGGCCCATAAAAGGGTGCAGCGCTGCGCGGGCCTGGTGGTTGCAGCGTCCGGTGTGGACACTTCCCCTGCTGGGGCCGCCCCTCCACCAGTTTCCCTCTCTATTCTCTCCAAGAGCACCATTGTCCCTGCGCCTGTGCGAGCCCGGCTTGCCCTCCTGGCACCTCAGCACCAACCCCTGGGGTGGGGGCGGGGGGTCTTCCCAGCCCCTCCAGGCCCGTTTCTCACATGCGTCCCTCAGGAAACCCCACCAGCGGGGCCTCATTGCACAGGCTCCCGTCCCCTGACCCGGATGCGCCGGTGCCCTGCCTTCCCGCTGCGCCTCCGGGAGCAGTGTCCCTGCAGGAGCCTCCGGCTGGGGCCGTGGTCTGGGGCAGTCTCAGTGGCTTGTGGCCAGCAGCAGACTCCGGTCGGGATCCGACCGCTCTACTGAGCGCCTGGCACCGCCGCCCTGGCTCTGGAGTCCGGGCGACTCACAAAGGGCCAGCAGAGGGCGCCCCAGTCCGCTGCGTGGTTCGGCTTGTCTGCAGCTTGCCACCCCCCACACTGCCTGCGGGGTCCTTTAGTGGGCCCCGAGGGGGCCTCTCAGGACTGGCGCGTCAGGACTGCTTGGGGCCTCTTGCAGCCACAGCCTGAGCGAGGCACCCACAGAGGATCGGCCTTGGCTGCCCTCTAGGAGGTGGTGGCTGGTGGCCATCCCCACAGTGTTGGCCAGCGTGCTGTGTGTGAAGGACTCTGGCTCATGTTTGCCCATCAGCATCCTGCCCTCCTGCCCACGTCCAGCCCAGGCAGCCTCAGCTCTCCTGCTGGCTCGGAGCACCTGCTGTGCCCTGTGTCCATGCGAGGCCCTTGGGCTCCTGCGTTCCTGCAGCCCTCTGCTGTCCTGGAGGCAGCGGTTGCTCAGCCAGGGGCTCTCTGGGAGTGCTGAGCTGAGTTCTGGTGGAGTGCCCAACAGACCCCTGTTGTGGGGAGCCCTGAGGGCATCATCAGGGGGAGACGCAGGCCAGCAGTCAGCAGGACCTTCGTAAGCTCGGGGGATGTCCAGAGGCCCCATATGCGTGTTATTTGTGCACTGAGGGGTGTCAGGGAGACCCATGTGTGCCGTGGGCTCACACAAGGGGTCAGGGAAAGAAGCTGCTCTGGAAGCGGGCAGACACAGGGCCCAGAATTCCAGGGGAGGGTTCGCTTTCCTGAGAGGGCCTTCTGGCCAGCAGCAGCACGGGACCAGGCCTGCCTAAACTCACCGCTTTCCCACAGAGACACTATGAGCAGTATGATGGCTTTGTGGTCATCCACGGCACGGACACCATGGCCTTCGCTGCCTCCGTGCTCTCCTTCGTGTTGGAAAACCTGCAGAAAGCCGTCATCCTAACTGGTGCCCAGGTAATTAATGCCCCAGGCTGGCCGGCGCACGCAAGGCTCTGTGGGCCTTCCCGAGGCCATGGGGTGGGTCAGCGCCGCTGCGGTCCAGGAGGACCCTGGGCTCCCACTCAGTCCTGCGGCTCCCTAGGTGGCTCCTGCTCTGCCTGTGCTGGCAGCACTCAGGTCCTGCCTGGCGCCAGCCCTGCCTCCTGGGGATGGGGCACCTGCTGTCGGCCTTGTGGTATTGTCCGCTGTTTCATTCTTCCCACTGTGGCTCCTGTGGGCGCCATCCTCAGGGACCTGGGCGCATGCCGCCCCTCCTCTTTCAACCTGATTCAGACACTCCCCAGGGCCTGGGTAGGTGGAATGTTCTAGAAAATTTCTAGATTTGAGGGGAGGTGGCAGGGCAAGCGTGGACCCCTGCCAGGGCCTGCGTCAGAGCTAACTCGGGTCCCCTTTGCCTGTGGTGGCATCGTGAGCTGTTGCAGAAGTGCAAGCCCCAGGGTCGGGGGGAGCAGCCCCACCGAGCACCTCGGAGCCTCCCTGGGAGAAGAGACCCAGGCCTTTGAGAGGGAAGCCTGTGTCCATGTCCCTTTGAAAACCTCCTGGGGGAAGCTCAGAAAGCCCAGGGAAGTCTTGCCAGGGGCTGACCAGGTGGCCTGCCCGGCTCTGTCTCCTCGTCCCCACCTGGTCAGGAAGGTGCAGGGCTGAGCGCTTCCTACTTGCAGCCCATGCGAGAGCCGTGGGCTCAGGCCGACCCCGGCCCTCCCCGGCCCCTCGAGCTCTGGGTTCAGGCCACCACACAGGCCCCTCTGAGGGACAAAGGGCAGATCTATGACCACTGCTGGCCCCAGGGAGGGCCACACGCAGGCTTTAAGCCCCACACTGCCGTGACAAAGCCCCTTTATCTCTGTTAAACCCAAGGGGCAATGGAGGCTCAGAGGCCCAGATCTACTTGTCCAGGGCTCCCCACCCACAGCTGCACACCTCACGAGGAGCAGAGCCAGTGAGGACCCAGGACTGTGGCCCCAGGCTCTGGAGGCCCTGCACTGACCGCTCCCTGCTGACCACACCCGCCCTCCTGCCCACCCTGGTCTCCAAATGCCCCCCAGAAGCCCAGCCCCTCTTTGCCCTCCTGAGCAGGGGTGGCAGGAAGCTGGGCACTGACCAGTCACCCTGTGCCATTGGTCCCCCTGGTAGACACAGGTGCCGGTCTATGACCAGGTGCTTGGCCACCCTCGCCTGGCCCATGATTCTGCCAGGGAGCTGGGCTGGGCAGTGGTGTGGTCCTGGGACAGGATGCCCATCGCGTATCCCTCCCACTGTGGGGACTGGCCGGCTGCCGGCAATGGGCACTCGGACCTGCAGAGGGGGTCGGGGCTCAGGACGGGCTGACATCGTCAGCAGGAGCAGCCGGTTCCCCCAAGGGTCCTGTCTCCCCTGCCGCCCGCCCGCCTGCCCCTGCCCCTGCCCCAGGCTCCTCCACTGGGCTCCTCCAGGGCTCTCCGAGCCTCAGCCCCAATCCTGGGCTTCTCCCCACAGGTGCCCATCCACGCCCTGTGGAACGATGGCCGCGAGAACCTGCTGGGGGCCCTGCTCATGGCTGCCCAGTACCTGATCCCCGAGGTACCCTCCTTCCCTCCCAGCCAGTACCTGAACCCAGCCAGGTACCCCGTCCTGGCCAGTACCTGATCCCGAGGTGCTCCTTCCCTCTCCCTGGCATGGTGGGCAGGGGGCTTGGCCATGTGGGTCCAGGGCCCAGTGGTGGAGCCTGTGTGCTCGGACCTGAGGCAAAGGGCTTGTGGGGGTGGCACTGGGGGCTCACAGTGAGGGCTCAGGAAGGGTTTTAAAGATCTGTCTTTCACCTTAGAAGTGAAATGCACCATCACTGTAGAAAAAACCAGAACAGAACAAAGCCACCCAAATGTCACTTCCTGGAGTCACCCGCCCACTGTTAGCAGTGGGGACATTTTTTTTCCATATATGTGTACTTATTTATTTTGTATCTGTTATACTTATATGCACTACATTATGTTTATTTCTGTTATGTACGTATGTATGCGAGTGTCCATAGAAGCAGATGTACTGAGCTTCTCTGGGGGCCCGCCTGCTTCCCTCTTGAGCGTCACTTTCCCTCGTGTAGCGCAGGGCTGTTCCGAGACGGCCCCCTCATGCAGGGGCCGGGTGGCCTCGGGAGGGAGGCGGGTGCCGCCCCGGGAGGGGCTGCCCGAGGTGTGGTGAGCTGCGCCCCCCGCTGGCCCTCCGCCCACCGCGGGCCGGGCAGATCCAACCCCGCCCCAAGCTCTGGAACAGGGCCCTGCAGGGGCGCACGGCCAGGGGGGCAGGGGCGCTCTCTGCAGCTTGGCTGACAGGATCCCTGAGAAGCAGGCATGGGCAGGGGGATGGGCCGGTCCTGCCAGCTGCCCCCAGACCCCGAGAGGCCGGGGTGGGGGCAGCCATGTGCGGGGTCTGGAGGGGCAGGGGCTCCCCAGCACTAAGCCACCATCCTCCCCCGAAGGTCTGCCTGTTCTTCCAGAATCAGCTGTTTCGGGGCAACCGAGTGACCAAGGTGGACGCACGCAGGTTCGCGGCCTTCTGCTCCCCCAACCTGCCCCCTCTGGCCGTTGTGGGCACTGATGTGATGAGTAAGCCGGACTGTGAGCAGGGCCGGTGGGCGAGGGCGTCTGTCCCGGTGTCCTGCAGGGAGCAGGGGCGTGGAAGCCTGGGCTGGGGGTGTCCCCTCAGCTGGCAAAGGGCATGGCTCTTGGTTTCACCCTGGGCTGTGGAGAATCTGGGGCTGCCAGGAGAGGGTGCCAGGAGAGGGTCACCAATAGGTGACCCCAGCGGGGAGCCGTGGGATCTGCCTGGAGGAGGAGCAGGTTTGGGGTACCTGCCCCTTGTGTGCCCCCGGCCAGGTGGCCCTGAGCCCAGGGATCCCTTCCAGTGATCATCTGTGGCCCTGCCACATGCCTCCACATGTGGCTCCTGCAGTGGGACCTTGTCAGTGGGACTCCCGTGGGAGTCCCTCCGTCCACTGGGCCTGGCAGGCAGCCCATCCCCCTCGTGGGGTCAAGTAATGCCTGAGGCCGCCCTGGGGGGCACCCCTTGCCCAGCCCAGGAGCCGCCTCTGGTCGTGTTATCAGCATGGTGGGGGAGCTCAGGTCCCACCCGACCCACCGGGAGGCACTCCCAGGCCCCCCACCTCCATGCAGATGTCTGCCTCCCCAGATGTCTCCAGTGGCTTCCTGGCTGCAGTCCAGGACCTCGGTGGGCATGGCTAGCCCCTCCAACTCCCGCCCAGTGCCCTGGAAGGCCCCCCGGGGCAGCCAGGAGCACCTGCACGTCCTCCTGCGATGTGGGCTGCCTCCGGGGCCTTGCCCTGTGTCAGGCCTGGGGTGTAGGGACAGTCACCAAGCCTGACCCATCTCTTCCCGGCTGAGCTGGTGGTCCTATGGCTGGTGTCGGCCCAGGCACCTGTCCCCACCCCACAGCTGTGGGGTCCTGTCCCAGGCTCCCCTGGGGCAGGGGTGCCCCAGACCTGGCAGAGCTGGCTGGTTTGTGGGGACTGTGGGGCCTGAAGCCTGGGCCGAGGTGTGGTTCACGCTGTGCAGGGAAGCAGGCCTGCTGCTGGGGGACGGCAGGACCCAGGCCGCTCCTCTGGTGGGACTGCCAGTCTGCAGCGTTCCCGCCCCTCAGAGGGCAGAGTGGTCTCCTTGCCCGCATGCACTCTGTCTGGGCTCAGGCGGGGCCTGCGAGGCCTGGAGGGGCAGTTCCGGGAGGCTGGCATGTAGTGCCCCCACCCCAAGGAGGAAAAGATCAAGATAGGGGCAGGGGACTGTGGGCAGCCTGGGCCATGGCCTCCCAGGAGTGGGGGCTTCCTGGGACGTCCCAACAGGTGGGCACCCTCGGGAGCTCCGGGCAGGGGCCCTTCAGGGAGGGCTGGAGCACAGAGAGCAGACCCGGGGGCTCTGGCTGGTGTGCTGAGCTTCCTGTGGGGACAGGTGAAGGGGGGCCTGTTCCTGGGGTAGGCAGGCTGATCACTAGCTCTGAAAGCCCCCAGACCAGCAGAACACACAGACAGGGGGTTCCAGGTGGAGGGCAGGATGTGCTGGCTGGTGGTGGGGCCACAGCAGGCCCGGCAGGAGGAGAGCATGGGTAGGAACCTGGGGCAGAGGAGGGAAGGCCCACGCAGGGAGGCCACAGCTCTGTCCTGAGCCCCGCCCCTCATCCGGCGTGTTCTTTCTCCCGACACCGCCCTTGCCCAAGTGCCTTCCAGGTGTTGTGAAGCCCGGAACACATCAGTGTGCCCTGGGTGTGTGGCAGGGGTGCTGGACAAGGTAGCAGCCACCTACCGGTACAGGCAGACGGATGGGCTTCCTCCCCACAGGGAGACCCCTGCCCTGGGCTGCCCCTCTGAGGAAGGAAGGGAGGGGCGGGTGGCCACTCTGAGGACCTGGCTCCCCTGTGGCGTGGGGACTAAGTCACCTGGGGCTCAGGAGTGGCACCGCCAGAACGCAGTGTGCTGGCATAAAGCAGGAGTTTGCTCTGGATCCTGGAGCCTCTTCCCGGGCTGCGTGGGGTCCAGGCAGGCCCGGAGGCCCAGCAGCTTGGCAAGCGCAGGGCTGCAGCTGGCCCCAGGGAGAGAAGCTGCTCTCAGCCCCGGGGCCAAGATCCCACCAGGACGTTTCCACTGTCCAGGGAGCCTGTGGGCTGGGTGAGAACCTGCACCCTGCCCGCCCCGTTCCTGCTGCAGGCCCTGGCCTTCTGGCACCTGAGTTGAGAAGTGCCTCAGATGTGGGGCCTGGGGCCCAGCAGGCAACGCTGAGCCACGTGATGAGGTGGCCCAGGGGCCCTGGCCCGGCTGCCCTGGGCCCTCTCTGGGGGACAAGGCAGGTGTGGTCCACGCGGGGCCTCCTGGAGACCCACACCCTCTGCCCACAGCAGGGACAGTGCTGGGGAAGTCAAGCTGCCAGGCTATGGGGGCACACGGGCCTGCAGACCTCCTGTGCACGAGGCCAGCTCAGCTCCCGCAGCAGCTGTTGGGGGGCCGAACAGGGTGCTAGCCTGGTCATGGTGCCCGCCATGCCATGCTGCGACCATCCCTCTTCCTCTCCGGCCCCC